AAGTTTTTAAGTGTAGACAAAAAATTGTCTAGAATGGTTGAGAGGGATAAATAGGGAATGAAACTAGATGACTTCTTGAAGTCCTGTCCACTCCTATTTTTCTCTGATTCTGTGCAGGTCAGGATTAAATAACTGGGCCTGCTGTATACTACTTGGAAGCAAGGCAAGTCACTGTTTGAACAATTTCAGATAATGTATTTGAAAGCTATGAAATTCACTGAATAAATTCACCTAACATTGTTCTCCATGCTTTAACATACTGCCTCCTGTTAGCTCCTTGCAACATTTCCTTTCCCTGCTGCTCCACTAACTTATCAGTTACCTTCATTTTGCACAGATCACTGGCTCTCAGATTAGCACCAGTTTACACAGTTCTGCCTCTCACACCCTCTTTGCAAGCCACTCTTGCCACCATTTCACATCATAGCTATAGTAAAAATGTACTGGGGATACATATCTAATATCTGTAAGATTAGCAAATATCACAGTCTGTAACCAAGTTAAAACTTGGGGAGAGTTCCTCAGCCTTTTTCTGGTTCTCTTACACCAAGTAAATGTCCAGAGTGGAATAAAGGCACCCTGAAAGATTTGCATTGGGAAGGAGTGTTGGTTGTAGCCATGTTGGTCTAAGGACACAGGCAGTTCTTTGGGTAAATCTGGTATCTTTTATTAGACCAACTCAAATAGTTGGTAAAATTCTTCTTTGCAAGCTTTCAGGCACAAACACGCTTCTTCAGGCAGAGGGAATGTCCTTACCAGGCCAGTACGAAATGGCAAGTATTCAATTTGGATTTGGATTCAGCTGATTCAGAGAGGCAGTGATTTAATTCAATGATTTGAATCACTGTCCCAATTCGATTTGGCGGAATCAGATTCAAAGATTTGGCGCCGATTCTGAGGTTCAGCTATAGACTAAACAGGCAGCAGTCCTTGACCACACTGGACACAGGTAAGTCTGTTTTGGTGGGTGGAGGTGGAGGGATGGGGAATGGGGGGCAGATCAACGCCCCCACAGTGAGGGAGGGATTGGGGCTAGGGTTGGGACAAGCTGCCCAGCCAAGGTCAGGGGGAGCGCAGGACTCAGGGAGGGGGGCTCCCACCACTGCGCGCTACCATGCACTGCTGGTCCGGGAGGGTATGGGAGCGGACGTGTGTCCGCGGATCTGCACCGGGCAGGCTAAGCTGAGCTGCGCTCCAGACAGGCAGCAGAAGGCCCTGGGAGTGGAGCCTATGCCTTCCCACCGCTTGCCCAGCTGGGGCAGGGAGGCGCGAGACAGTGCCTCTGCGCTGCCTCAGAGAAGCGGCGTGCAGCGGCGGAAGCTGCTCCCACCTCCCTGTGCCTCCTGGATAAGCCACAGCTTCGCCCCACTGAGCCCCAGCTGTGCAAGCAGCAGCAGGACATGGGGGCATGCACGTGCACCTAGATCAGGGAGGGGCCAGTGGCAGGGGCTATGGGGAATTTTAAGGTGGCTGCAGCCCCCCTTCCTGTAGCCCCTGCTCCACTGCGCTCTGCGGGGTGGGTGGAGCCAGGGCTGCACTCCAGGCTGTGCACCGCCTGGTGGTGGGGGCTAGCCTCCTGGATCGCAGCCCGGCCCGGCCCACGCAGATCCAAGGGCACATGCCTCTCCCAGACCAGCAGCGCATGGCAGCGTGCAGTGATGGGACCTTCCCTCCCCGACTCCTGGGCCCCTCCACCCCGTCTGGGCAGCTTGTCCCAGCCCCAGCCCCAGCCCCAATCCCTCCTTCACTGTGGGGGCATCAATCTGGCCCCAGCTACGCCACTTCCCTCCCCACTCTGCCCATCACAACAGATTTACCAGCTGTAGGCAGCTGTGTCCAGCATGGGCCAGGACTGCTGCCTGTTTAGTCTATGGCTGAATCTCTGAAACAGCACTGAATCTCTCTGAATCAATTCAATTTGGAGCTTTTCATGGGTCTCCTGATTTGATTTGGATTCAGGGATTCGGCTGCCAAATCGGGCCAAATCTCCTCCAAATTGAACTGAGTACCAAAGCTTCGCACAGGCCTAGTCCTTACATTGGGAAGGGGGAAGATTTCACTGGTGCAGCCACTGCAGTAGCCAAGGGGAGAGGGTTAGGGGGCCATAGTGGGCTGTACTGCAGAGATGCTGAGTAGTGATACACCCCATAAAGCAGCCTAAGTCAGTCTGCCATTCATAGATTCATAGACATTAGGGCTGGA